GATGTTATTAGCAGCTGTAATATTTAGCATTGATTTCTTATAAGGAACTTTCAGATGAAGCAACTCTTTTGTAAGACAGCTAGATTTTCTGAAGTTTGTTTCCCATCTATAAAGCAGTCATTTCATTTTGAATGCCTGTTTCTTATCCCCTTAATTAGATTTGCAAGGGAATCACTCATTGCAGGCTGTTTGTTCAAGAGGTAAATAATTTTTAATTTCACATAAGTTTCTTCATATCTAAGACAACGTTCAGTGTATAAACTGCTTTCCCTTGTTAAGGATTTTAAAGTGGCTTGTTTGATCTTATAGTTAGCTTTTTGTCTTCCAACTACTGTAAAAACTTTGCACAGCTATTAGGGTAAATAAGGCATTTTACCAACAGAGCCCCAAACCGCGAAGCACCTAGTTCCATAACCTTTCAATTTTTCCAATGGAACTGACACTTAAACTCTTAGACGATTTTCCTCCTTATTCTTTTAAAAGCTGTGTTTTAAATTTGCCATGAACGTATTTTCGAGCTGACAAAAGTTTCAGGGCAATGTCGCCATCTTTAGCGGAAAAACTACCTTTCCCAGAATGCATTTCCCTTATATCAGTCCATAATAGTATCAGTACCTTAAATCAGTCCCTTATATCATTTCCCTTATATCAGTCATTTCCCATAGTTCTTTTTGGGTCTGAGAGTCAACTGGTTCTCTTTTACCAGACTTGCTTACAAATTCTTGCCCGGGAGGTTTGAACAAAGTTTTTTGCTTTTGCAATGGGAGATTTGAACAAGCATTTTACATCTTCAGCTATGGCACATTGGGAGGTTTCTGGTCTCTCCTCAGCTGGCTTTAACAGGTATCCCTCCTTCATTTGACACTGGCCCCGGATCAGAACTGCACCTGCCTCGTTAGCGCGCATTGAGGTGGGCATTTCTGATAGCAACTTTCCTCGGGGCTTGTGTTTGTCTTAGCCAGTCAGTGAAAAACATTTACAACAGTTTTTCCATAGCTCCTTCGGAGAGATTTTCTCCCACTGACTTTATTCTCATTTTGCTTGTTCCTTCACCCCCAGATGCAGAGCTTCAGCTATCTGTGGCTCTGTTCCTCCGCTAGCTGCCTTTGGGGGTAGGGGCTTTTTTCCTCCCCAAATCTGCCTCAAATTCTAGCAGCTTTTTCAGGTCATATATTTTCTGGGGAGGATTATGTCCCTTCTGTTTCCTCGGAGTCTTTTTCCCAGACCGTTCCCAGTTTGGTCTCAGTTTATCCCCTCTACCCCAGAAACAGTTTCCGACACTACAGTGGTGGCTTTCCCTGCTCCTGAAGGTAGGGGCTTTTTGTCCATTTGTTTTCGGGGTCTGCGTGGTTTGTGTACAGACTGAAAATCTAGCAAGGGAGGTTTTTGCCATCTCTAAACTCCCATTAGGACAGGTGTTTTTTCCCTCAGGCCTTCACCTGGCCCAGTCCCCCAGTGGGTTGTATTTGCTTGTCTGGGTGCTCAAGGACAGAGCTTATGCCAGAGGCAATCACCCCTCAGGGCTATACTCCCTCATCTCAGGGAGTCAGTTGAAACAGCTTTTCTCAAGGAGATGCTTTCTCTAAAAGAAAAGAAAGCTTTACTCCTGGATAGTTCTGTTCTGCCCTGGCTGGGCTTTTTCCCCAGACAGCGTTCTGACTCGGCAGCACAACTGCTTCAGACACAGTTCAGCTTTACTGTTTTCCCAGAAAGGTCCTTTCTCTAATAGGAAAGCTTTTCCCAGATTTCTTTTTGCAGCTGTGGACCTATCAACCCGGGACTTGTAGGAAAGCAGACAACTGTGCTGTTCCCACTGGCTTTAGTTTTGTTTGTTCATTAGCAATCTTCCCCTGGGTCCTGCACCTTCCTGCCTCAGCTCTGTGCTCCAGGAAGTTTGCAACTGCAGGAACCCTAGTATCCCTGAAATGCACTCCAACTCAGAGACGCTGGCCAGTCGCCTCTGGGTTTTTGGTCAGAAGTGAGGATACAATGCTAACAGTTTGCATGCTTCAGGGGATCTTTGCATTAGGACAATTAGGAGCACCTTTTCATTCTGAAATGCTCACTCAGAAACAAAACCCTTGTTGCCTCAGCTGGGCATAACTGAAAAGCTTGGCTTTTTTGCTTTTCTCAGGTAAAGTTTCCTGCCCTTTTGGGCTCTCTATAGTTCTTTATCCACACTCTCCCAAGCATTTCCCTCAGGGTACTCTGACCCACTGTCTTTTACTGGCTTGAAGAGACAGAGCTTAGTAGAGGTTTTTAGGAACTTGTCCCTGCCTCCTGCATTGCAGGGAGGATTTTTAAAGCTTGAAAGAGAACTTAGGTTTTGCTGTCTTCAGAGGTTTGTTGTTTTTCCTTAGAGCTAATCACAGGTGGTCCCCATACTAATATCTTCAGGTGATTCTAAAATTTGCCCTTTTGAGAAAGTTCTGAAAGGCTTTAGTTCTTAAGTTTAAGAGCTTTTGAGAAAGATGAAGCCTTTTTAGAGAGTTTTATTCCCCAAAATTTTCCAAGAAAAGCTTTTAGTTTGAGAAAGAATTTTTTTTCCCCAGGAGAAAGACCAACTTTTCCCAAAACTTCCCAACTTTAAACTTTGGCTTTTTACACCCCCATTTTTGCCTTAGGTAGAAATCACTTTCTCCTGCCGCTTGGACTTAGCATTTCAGCTGTCCCCAGGTCAAAAGCTTCCATAGGAAACTTTTTCTTCCCCGTAAGCTCAAAGAAGAGCTTTTTTTACTACCTGTAAAGCCCAAAGAAAGATTTTTTCCCAGTTTGCATTCAGAGCCCCCAAAGTTAGAAAATTGAGTTTTTCTGTCTAGTTGCCTTACTTATTTTTTCCTACACAATCTTACACTTCTAAGTTTTTCCTACACTATATTACTACCCTATACCTTATACTTATTTTTTGCAGATAGAAATTGAGAAAGGGATACAAGATAGAAAATTTTGACAGAAAAGAATTTCGCTGCAGCATCGAACATCCTTCCAGTCTGCTTTCCTTTTCTCTCGAGGATAAAACCCCTGCCTCTCAATAATATATATAAAATATATATATTTTCCATAACACCGGCATGCCTTTCCACTGGCAGGGCTGACTCAGCACTTTCGCCAAAAACTCTGTAATAAAACTATTATTTTCCTTTATCTTTAGTCCCTATTACTTTGTCTTTAGTCCCTGCTCATTTGTCTTTAGTCCCCCCTTTTTTTCAGTCCCCCCTTTTTTTCTTTAGTCCCCTTTTTTTTTCTTTTTTCTTTAGTCCCTGTTCATGGCGCCATTCTGTGGGGCGTTTACCCAACCACCCCCACAGTTCCCCAGAGTTTTCTTGAGTGCAAGCAGCAGGAAATATTAGATAGAAGGATTTATTGCGGAGAATATCGCTGAGATAAACATATAGAAAATAAAGGATAGCCTCGAGAGGGCCTGGAACCTATTCCAACAGGCCCCGACTGTCTCTGCCCCAGGGTTTTTATAGAGACGCCAAGGGGTGGAGCAAAAGACCTCCTCCCCCAGCACAGCCAAGTGCAGACCATCTCAGACACCTGCACTCAGGCCCGTGGTCTAATCATCCTCTATTCGGACATGCTGGGTAAAGCCACGAGGAACCCGAGAACGGGCTCCCACACACCACATATGTACCTGGATCCCTCAGAGGTCAAAAGAGGTTATCCAATCTCCTGGAACTGGAGTTACAGGCAGTGGTGAGTCACCATGTGTGGCTGGTAAAAATGTAACCTGGATCCTCTGTAAGAACAACAAGTGTCCTTAACCACTGCACCACCTCTCTAGCCCCAATGGTCCAGTTTAAACACTGGGCACAGGAGCCTGGGGTTTTCATGGACAGCAGCTCTCAGCTTCTTGATCATCTGTTCTGTCTTTGATTATTAAAATCCAGCCACATCTGGGTTGGCTAACCATCTATCTCTATTTAGGATTTTTGTGTTCTGTTAGCCATGACCCCCTTAAGCAGTTAGGCTTCCAGGTGGGTCGCCCTTCCTCATCAATGGACCACTGCCCTTGATGTTACTGCCTCCTGACCACTCCATCTGACGGGATTTTCTGTACAATGCAGCCGGGATGCCAAGTTAGAAATTCTGTTTCCTAACACCATCCCAGCCTTGAGCCATCATCATCCCTGAGCTTCCAGCAATGCTGATGCCTTCTCCCTGGTCATGCTCACTGTGCTTCTCCACAGGGGTGCTCCAGCATCCCACAGAGCAGGATGGTCTCTGCTCACTCCCCATGGAAATGTTTGCCGATGTATCCACTCTGGCACAGGCAATTCTCAGAGATTTTTGATCACCACTTTTCTATTACCCAATTTAACCTGCCTAGATTAACTTTGTCCCGTCGTGTGGGCATGGTCATCTACTAACCAGTTCCAGGAAGCCATCCCTAGAGCATTGCCTTATATCCCAGGGAACCTGCCAATGGTTTGTTCTAATGTCATTCTATCGCTGTGGTAAAACACTCTACAAAAGCAATGTAAAGGAGACAGTGATTTATTTGACTTCTACTTCTAAGCCATAGTCTGTCACTGAGCAAAGTCAGGGCAGGTACTCAGAGGCAGGCAGATTGCTATTCCACACAGCATTATCTAGGACCAAGGAACTTTTTCACAGTCAGAGAGGAATGGGAGGAGCCATGGAGGATGCTGCTTGCTGTCTGGATCACTAACTCCTGCATAGCTAGGTATCTTATCCATTCAGAGACCACCTGCCCTGGGAATGATAATGCCCTTAGTGACTGGAAATTCCTACCTCATCAACAGTCAAAACAGTCCCTCAATAGACACTTCCTTCTTAGGTGACAATAGACTGCATCAAACTGACAGTGTGAACCAGCAAAGATGTGCAAGTCTTTACTTTCTTCCTTTTTTCTCTCTTCCTTTCTCTTTCTTTTTTTAAAGACACCCTTCCACAGGTGTCTCTTGTTCCAGAAGCAAAGACTGTCTGTGAGCCCTTGCTCCGCATCCTAACCTCACGGCATGTTTTCTTCACAGACGCTGCTTCTCTTTACTACAGCTTCACTGTTGACAAGTCGGGGTCTGGACCGTGGAGGCACCAAGTCCAAGGCCAACTGAACAAAGAGAATTTTATTTACTGTGACAGTACCAACAACTGCCATGCTAATGGTGTTCTGGGGGACAGACTGAAAGCCACAAAGACCTGGGAACCACAGGTTGACACTCTGAAAGATGGAGTTGACCTGTTCAAACAGCAAATGGTTTACATGAAGCAGGAGAACAATACAATCAGAGGTAAGTTTCAAATTGCCCATAGTGCTCGAGATGTAGCTCAGTGGTAGAGTGCTTGCCTGGCATGCATGAGGCCATAGGTTGAATCCCCACAGCTACAAATTAAAGAATAATCAGATGGGCCCCTGAAGGAAAGAACAGGATTTGTGACAGGTTAGGGACATTCATTGTTTTCATGGAGATAAAATGAATTATGGAGGTCCCACCTAAGAGGCTCAGCAGCAAGGCTAAAATGTGCAGGGTAGAGCAAGGTCAGAGGATGGGAAGGGAGGTGGGTAGCCTGGCAGGATTCACCACGGTCAGAGGCTCATCTCTTTCCCATGGGCACAGAGCCCCTCACTCTGCAGGCCATGATGTATTGTGGGCATGAAGTAGATGGAAAGTTCAATGGATCCTGGGACTTTGACCTCAATGGACACAAAATGTTTCACGTTGACTCAATCACTGGAAAGTGGACTGAAGTTGAACCTGGATCCAGATGGATGAAAGAGATGTGGGAGAATAACAGGGATGTAACCAACTTCTTAAAAATGACCTCACAGGGGGACTGCAGGTCCTGGCTTGAGGAGATCAAGTCACACTGGGAAGAAAAGCTGGAGCCTACAGGTAACTGGGAAGAAGGGGAGGGAGCTCTCTGAAGATGTGTGTGTGTGTGTGTGTGTGTGTGTGTGTGTGTGTGTGTGTGTGTGTGTGTGTAACAATCTAATCACCATGAGCTCTTCAGTTGATGGCTGTTTTTCCCATCAATCATTTCGTTTCTCACCCTCTCCTGTCTCATTAATTGTGTTTACCTTGTTCTCTCACTGTGGTTCTCACAGGCTGTCACAGTCTGAGCATCCTTTTATTTCCTGTCCTTTTCCTCATTCTAGACTCTCTGCTGCTTTTCATCTCACCTGATCTTTCTTCTTCCCTGCCTCCATCGTCACAGGTAATCTTCACACCTCCTCTCCTACTAGAGGGAAGATGAGGTCCCATCATTGCCCTGCTTCCCCTACCATAGCTGCAGGAGTCTTTGGGGTCAGGGGACATGCCTTCTCTCCCTTCCTACTGGGAATCCACTTAAACATTCGTTGCATAGCAACAGGAGTGGAGCTCTGTGTGTTACTCAATCACCTGAGCACCCAGAAGCTAAGGTGAGATTTCCTCAGATTTGATGTCTGGTCAAGACTCAACCTGTGTTTCCATTTCAGCCTCGCCAATTGCTACTCCAGATATGAAACGGGCTTCATCCTTGGCCATCAATCCAAACACCTCTGTCCCGCTGATAATCCTCCCCTACACTGTTTTTCTGTGGTTTCTGAGGAGAATCCGTGATAATGAAGGTACTGAGGGCAGTTTTGGGAGTGGGGTAAGGGACAATAGAAGGAGTGAGGAAGCAAGAGGGAATTCCTGGAGTCCTGCTCTTGTCCCTCATCTATAGCATCTTATTGAGAAAGGAGGCAGGAGATGCGGAGTTCACGTCACCTGCTAGTGACAGTTCATGCATGCTCAGCCTTGACAGGACAGGAATCATGTCACAGACCAGTGGGAAATGAGGAGGGAACACAGCAGGTTCCTAGTCAGGAGGGTCCCATAATGCAGATGTGGAGACAGCAGGAACACAAAAGAAGAACATGGTAGTTCATGTGCAACTGGTAGGGCAAACTGTCGCTTCTTCTGCATAGACCCCAGGCATTCACACAATGCACTTACAGATGTGAAGGCTCACACTCATATATATAAAATAGAAACGAATCAAGCACCAGCATCCTCCCAAACCCCTGGACCAATGTCCCACTGGAGGCAGGTGAGACTGAGCTGCTGCCATCTTGGTTTTTGAGATGGACCAAGGTAGGGCAGGGACAGTCACATCCACAGCTGTGATGCCACTCTTATATTTTGAGAGTTTCAGAATGAAGGGGAAAAGAGCTCTGGGACCCCACTAAAGTCCTGGATGACCAGGTCCAAAGGCCATTGTGTTATAGGGCTCCTCCCTCCTCCTCCAGGCCCTTCCATCAGGCCCTGAGTCAGGAAGCAGAGCCAGTCATCACCACTTTATTCTGAACTTCAGGTCTGCAGCAGGGCCTGGGGCTGACTCTGGGACATGGGGAAGAAGGGACGAAGACAGTAGAGACTCCAGGGATGCAGAGTCCAGGAGTGATGGAGGAGGGAACTGGATGACCTCAGTGAAGGGTGACTGTGGGGTGGAGATGACTGGTACTGGGCACACAGGAGAACTGACCCAGGCTGTCCTCAGACCCTTCAATAGACCTGTTCCCTTGCTGCAGGTTGAGATGCTCCAGAGAAGGTCGTGAGAATTCATCTGGTTCAGCCACTCTCCCTGTCACCGGGCCTCAACCAGATGAATCATGATGCTGCCGACACAGTGTGTGTCACGATCCTTCACTCTGTGCTGTCACTTGGGTCTTTGTTATCACCCTGTACTGTTTCCTTGGTGCTCCCTGGTGGGAATTGTCCTTAACATGGAACTACATGAACTAGAGATCTGGAAAAGAACATGGTTATGTGCCGATCCCTAGCATAGGAAAAAGGATAACTAAATCTCCTTAGTGGGAATGTGAAGTTTTTACTCCTATGTGTATAACTTAGCATAGAAGTCAGTGTGAGACACACTCGGAAGGCTCCACCCTGCCTAACGGTGTTCATCTGGGAGTCAAATTCTGTGAAGACTATTAATTTTGTAATAGAGATTTATTATATTACCCCTGTACTAGGCTGCCATTTTTAGAACAAAAGAAAGTGTCTATTATTTATTTGTGACTTTATATGATAGAAATGGACAATTTCATAACAGAAAAGGTGATATTTTGTAATATTATTGCTATTACAGGTTAGTTTCTGTGCCATGCACTAGGTAGTCCAGCATTGCCCACATGCACATTGGAGGCAGAGAACCCGGAAGCTACTCAGTCCCACAGGCTGGCTGCCCCTGCTGTGACAATCTGGCAGTGAAAGCCAGAAGGTCCTGGAAAGCTGGTGCTACTGAGTCCACATCCTTCTGATGCAGGTTCTGGGTCAGGGCTGCTCTCCACTGTGCGCAGAGAAACTGCTTCTGCACATCCAGAACCTGTGATTGAGGAGAATGAACTCACCCAAGTTTCCTCTGACTCCGCATGGGCACTTTTGCAAAAGTGCACTAGCGCGCACACACACACACACACACACCACACACACACACACACACACACACACACACACACACACACACACACCACACACACACACACACACACACACACACACACAGTGATAACAAAATAAATAAAATAAGGACTCTAAGTATGGAGAGTTAAAATGTATAGTTCACTGTTGAAAACAATTTTGTAGAAGCAGGGTCTCACTATGTAGCCCAGGCTGGCCTGAAACTCAGAGATCCACCTACCTCTACCTCCTCAGCATTAGGGTAAAGGTGTGTGCTACCATGCCTGACTGATCCTTTCGTTTTTAGCTCTAATAGTATGTCATTTAAAGTATTAGAACTTTAAAATAGACTATTTCACTCACATTAATTTGTAAACTATACTGACATTAAGTACAATGGCAATATTCAAATACCTGAGGTATCACTAAAGGAAACCTGTAATAACTAATCATTGGAAATGGAAATCGAGAACTAATTGTTTAGTAGAAGTCTCTGGTAACTGTAACAGGCCCCAGGCCCCAGACCTTAGCACAACTGACTCCATCATAGAACTGCCATTGAGGCTGTAAAACTCAGCACATAGACAGCACCACCTGCCAAAACTAAAACAAAGGCCTGATCTATTCAAGCCCAGAGTTAAGGGAAAGTCTCTGAATGTACTCACCTTGCCTTTTGTCTTCTGTAGTTCCACTTCTGGCTAACTGTTATTAACTGACATCGATCCAGACATTGTTTCTGTGCTTAAAAGCTCTACCTGAGAAAGGTTCGGTGCTACACTGGGATCGCAAACACCCAATGTAGTTGTGACCAACTAATAAAGAGGTTTTTTTTTTTTTTTTTTTTTTTTTTTTTTTTGGTTTTTCGAGACAGGGTTTCTCTGTGTAGCTTTGTACCTTTCCTGGAACTCACTTGGTAGCCCAGGCTGGCCTCGAACTCACAGAGATTCGCCTGCCTCTGCCTCCCGAGTGCTGGGATTAAAGGCGTGCGCCACCACCGCCCGGCTTAATAAAGAGTTTTTATTGACTTAAATTCATGTCTGAGCAGTCTTCTCTGGCGAGTTCCTCACAACATTTGTGGAAGTTCCACTGAGATCCCAGAGCAAGACCTGAAGACACCAGAAATTTCAGTCTCTTGGAACAGGGAAGAATGTGGTGGTCAAGAATCTCCTAGGGCAGTGTTTCTCAATCTGTGGGTCACAACCCCTTTGGGGGTTCAAGGGCCCTTTCAAAGGAGTCACACATCAGATATCCTGCATATCAGATATTTATATTACGATTCAAAACAGTAGCAAAATTACAGTTATGAAGTAGCAACAACAATTCTATAGTTGAGGATCACCACAATGTGATAACTGTATTAAAGGAAGCATGTAGGAAGGTTTGAGAACCACTCTCCTAGGGGGTGTGCAACCTGAGTTCCTGGTCCCCGGGACTCCTTTGATCAGTTGCTGCTTAATGCTTCAGAGGAGTCTGATGTCTCCACCCCAAAAGGAAACAAACTAGAAAGTTGTCTAGTCTATCCCATCTGGAGAGGAGGGGGTTAAGGCGCCTTCTCTGGACACACAGGAGAGGTCTGACAAGGCCACTGATCCAGTGTCTGGAATCTGTGAGACCTCACTTGATTCCCCATCTGTTCAAGTGTATGAATGTGTGGTGGTCACTACTGGTTGTCTTCACTGTGTGTGTGTGTCTGTCAGTCTGTGTTTCTGTCAGTTCTGGTTCTCTGTAATACCAGTGACTTTCTCTGATATGAGAATCCCCTGGATTAAGACCTGTCCCCCTCTGTTGAGGACGGAATCATTTTGGTTCTGCCAAGTCTCCCAGAGACAAAAAACAACAGAAACAAGGACCCTCTCAGTCCTCCCTGAGTGGGAGCACTTCCTTGGTTCATTGCTTGACTCCTGCTCATGGTCAGGGTTGGTCTCTGTGTGGAGGTGAGGAGGGGCCAGGCTTCTCATTCAGGGCCCTCTGCCATCTAAGTTAATGCACACAGGGAGGGGGAAATAGTTCCCAGGTGAGCATTCCCTCCACTTCGTGTCTGATGTAAGCAGCCCTGGGGAAGGGGAAAAGTTCCCCTGAGCTGAACCCAAAGGAAAAGAGAAAGTTCCACTTCTTTCTCTTTCATGATTTATGTCTTCTTTTCAACAAATGGTCCATATGATTGAAAACTTAAACCCATCATTCTCTGAAGAAAACAAAAATGGAAAACCACCCCACGTGGGGTAGGGAATCTCTGACAGACAACACAGCCTGTACAGAATGAATTTTCTGTTCTGTCCAGCATGACCAAGGAGACTTTCAGCCATTTTCAATATGTAATTTATAAAGACAACTGCTAAAATGATTCCGTTTGTCACCCAGTTGGGCCCAGATACTAGAAAAGAAAGTATAAGAGTTACACAAACAATTAAAAGTGCAAGTAGGTCCCAGTTGCTGCAGCTAGCTCAAAGGTGTTCAACAACAGAATTGATTGGGTCAAGATCTTTTGCGTAAACTGAAAGCCACCATCACCTTCTCTGGTGACGAGACAGATTTACAGACCCCCAGCAAAATTTTGGTGTCTTACCCTCTGTCAGAAGAATAACTTCTAGCTGAACCCTCTGCCCCCAGTTGAAAGGTAAAGTTGAATTATGTCTCAGATTGACAACCAAGATTCCACAAATGGGACATTCATATCATGTTGCCGGCCACCAAACCTCAGGAACCATCGTGAAGATGCCTTATTCAGTGTCTACAGTACTAACTTTTTCTTTCTTTGAAGATTTATTGTTCTAGTATTCATCTCTAGTATTTTATCATCTATTTATGGGTGTTTTGCCTGCACATAGCCATGTCCATCATGTATACTGGCATCTTCAAAGCACCGGGGTCTTCTGCCGCAACTGGGCTGCACTTTAAAAAGAGCAGCGAAGCCAGAACTACAGGAGCATTTGGCTGGCCTTGCACAATAGTTGATATTTATTCAGTGGTCTCTTCCTCAGTACCCTTCACAATTTCATTACCATTGGAAGTTATACCAACTCCAATTAGCAGAATGGCCTGAAATAAATACAAAAAGAAAAAAATCAAAAAAAGCCCACTGAGAATGTGATCTCTGAAGTAGAGTAGGATGGTATAACTGCATATGCCGGAGGCCACTTGAATTAACACCGCATTTTTGTCCCTAGGTGTTTCCCCAGGCTGCTGCTTTACTTTCTCATCTATAATTTGATCTCCCATGATCCTTAGGGGCTGCCTCTGTGAACTCTCCTGAGAAGCGACTATGGCTCCTTCAAAGTAAAAAAAAAAATATATATATATATGCTTCTTATGACATCTTGGGAATTTCTGCCATTTACTGTAAGACCAAGGATGGCATGAAATTGTGATATTGATGTTTTTTTTCCTGTGGGCTTGCATTCACTCACAAGAGCATCAAGATATAATAGGTTGTTGGCCTTGAACCCATAGAGAACTACCTGTCTCTACCTCAAAAATGCTAGGTTTAAAGGTATGCACCACCATGGCCAGCAAGAAGGGTCATTTCTGAGCCATCACATACATTTTTAAAAAATTATAAAGGGTAGTCGTCATTAAAACAATGCTATTTGTCCATAACAGCAGGAAGTGTGAAATCAACAACCGGAAGACAAGTGGGAAACCCTCAATATTTCAGTGTTGAAGAGCATGCTTCTATATAGCTATGTGGTAAATAAAATATTGATAGGAAACTAGGAAATATTTTAACATGAGAAAAAGCAAACACCAGGCGTTAAAAACACAATGGAAACTTTAATCCTATAGCAACTGGGTAGAAGATCTTAGCAGGTGTCTTGGAAAAGTTCTGGTAACCCAGACTTCCAATAGATAGATGAGCAGGAAATGTCTGCAATGGTGGAAAGCTTTCAGGTTGAACATTCTTTGGAGCCTGATATTCTGGTTAAAGTTCACCTGATACATCACGAGAACTTACCCCTTCCTATGTGTCAACAAGCAGAGGATCAAAGTGACAGGAGCCTTCCAGGTTAGGGTGGCAATAATGTGACCACAGAGACACATTGGTGGAAACTCAGAGAGCGTTTTCTAAATCTGAAAGTCGTGTTTATGCAGTCGTTACAAATGTGGAAAAGGTAAAGTTAGGGAAAACATAGACACTACAGCCCAGAGACAAATGTGTTTGAAACTAATGGTTTGACACGGGGAGATTCAGGAAACATATGAACACTAGGCTGTAGAGAAAGATGGAAAGATCATAATCCCAGCTCAACAGACTGAAGTTTCTGATAGAGAAGCAACCGTGAAATAGTATACCATTCAGATGAAGGTGAACATGAAAAAGACACTTGTGCAACATGTACCTAAAGACTATAATGCAAGCAGAATTCCCCAGTGGTAGACAGTAGTGGTCCCCATGCAGAAACTGAGAACTCAGTTCTGGGAGTATGAGCCATGACTGAAGGGCATTGATTGAAATTTTGGAAAAAGATGGAGGTGGGGGAGGGGAGGATGACCAGGGCAGTAAGTGGCTGGGAGTGCTGGGCCACTGGGTCAAGAATTAGGATAATTAAAGTGAGGGCGGAGGACAGGGTTGAGGGGAAGGTTCCTGGTGGAGAAAATGAGTCTGGGATTGAGAGGTAGGCAGTGGTGGGAAGGGCAGAAGGGCCAGCTGGAGATCGGGGTAACCCAGAATTGGACTTGGAGGGGGAGAGGCGGTTGAGAGGGAGACTGGCGGTGTGGCTGATGCTAAAGGAGGTCTCCGGCAAAGATTCTGAAATACATCTAGTGTTTCAACTCAAGTTGCTGTGGGCTTGACGTGCTGTGGGCGCGACTGACCTTGGGTTAGGTACACAGACACCAACCTGGGGTTGAGTACCTGGGAGGGACCACGAAGTTTAGGAGCCTGGGGATTGGACAACTACAGCAGCTCTCCACCACTCAGATCATAGTCTCCGCCTCCCAGAGGGAGGGACTACCAACATCCTTTAGTGCTCCAAAGGGGAATTTAAAACGCTGGGTCCTCTGCAGAGCAGCACTGTCCTGTCATGGCTTCTCTCCTCGGCTCTTGTTACTAACCTGTTGCTCAGGATATGGCAAAGAACGCAGGCGCCGAGCGCTGTCTTTCCACCAGGGCTCTGCGCTTCTTGGTTCTACTGACCTGTCTGCAGTCCACACTGACCGCCGGTGAGTCGCCTTGGTCTAACTGGAGGGGCGCGGGGAGTGGAGCGTGGGGAGCAGGCTATTGAATCACGGGGTAGCAGTCCTCCTCGGGGGAGGCTCCTGGACCCTCTGAAACCGGGCGCCGGCACTGACCCCCCCCCACCAACCCCCCCTCCCCCCCGCCTCTACCCTGCCTCTGAAGCACGGCCCCGCCTCTACCCTGCCTCTGAAGCACGGCCCCGCCTCTACCATGCCTCTGAAACTCCCCGCCCATACTGTCCCTCGCCCCGCCTCTACACTGTCCTTCGCTCGGCCTCTACACCGTCCCTCACTCGGCCTCTACCCTGCCTCGGAAACACAGCGCTGGCACTGTCCCTGGCCCCGCCTCTACCATGCCGGGGCGCGCGCGGGGGGGGGGGGGGGGGGGGGACGGGGGAGGGGTGAAGAGCGAGAAAGTTACCCAACTGGGACAAATAGGGAGGGCAAGATGCCAGAGGGGAATCAGTGGTGACACAACAGCATTCAGCCACAGGAAACCTAAACCCAGCCAGGAGGCCCGGGGGTGATGGGCACAGTGCCAGACCCTGCCAAGAAGCTCAGACAGCTCCCTTGGACTTGAGGCAGTCTATGCTCTGAAGACTGCCTTCCCAGGGGATTCTTCACAAGCCCTCCACCATTCCTGAACCAATTTGCCCTCGAACTTTCTTTCCCATGGCCCCACCATATTTTTCCAGCAGATCACAATAGTGCTTCCAGGGACAAGGCAGCCCCAACCACCCACTTCTCACTTTCTTCCCTTTTATTCTTGCTGTTGTTTCGTTTTGCGGCAGGATGTCACACCATAGCCCACACTATAGAATTTTCATCAATCTCTTCCCCTCCCTAGGTCTGTCAAGGGCTGGGATTACAGATCTGTACCACCAAGCTCAGCTTCAATTCCCATGAGACTCATCAATCACCAGCCTGCTCAGCCCGCTCCCCTGCCCATATACCTTTCCCACTTTCTCATCCATAAAGTGCCTTCCAGCTCCTTTCCCACTTGATGGCAATCTGTGGATTAGCACCTCAGCTAGTCAGGGCTGACTATAGTGGACTCTGGCACTGGTGAGCCACCGTGTGTGGTTGCAGAGAATCAAACCTGGATCCTCTGCAAGAGGAACAAGTGTCCTTAACCACTGCACCGCCTCTCTAGCCCCAATGGTTCAGTTTAAACACTGGGCACAGGAGCCTGGGGTTTTCATGGACAGCAGCTCTCAGCTTCTTGATCATCTGTTCTGTCTTTAATTATTAAAATCCAGCCACATCTGGGTTGGCTAACCATCTATCTCTATTTAGGATTTTTGTGTTCTGTTAGCCATGACCCCTTTAAGCAGTTAGGCTTCAAGGTGGGTCCCCCTTCCTCATCAATAGACCACTGCCCTTGATGTTACTGCCTCCTGACCACTCCACCTGATGGGATTTTCTGTACCATACTGCTGTGATTCCAAGTTAGAAATACAGTTTCTTCACACCAACCCCAGCCTCGAGCCATCATCATCCCTGAGCTCCCAGCAAAGCTAGTGTCTTCTCCCTGGTCATTCTCACTGTGCTTCTCCACAGGGGTGCTCCAGCATCCCACAGAGCAGCATGGACTCTGGACACTCCCCCTGGAAATGTTTGCTGTTACATCCACTCTGGCAGACACACTTCTCTGAGATTTTTGATCACCACCCTTTTACCAGATTTAACCAGCCTAGATTATCTTTGTCCTGTAGGGTGGACTATCCTCTGACCAGTTCCAGGAAGCCATCCCTGGAGCACTGCAGTATGTCCAGGGGATCTGGCATGTGTTGTTCTGGTTTCATTCTGTTTCTGAGATAAAACACTCTACCAAAAGCAACGTATGTGAGAAATATTGTCTTGCTCAGTGTTCTATAGCTGTGAAGAGATACCATGACCATGGCAACTCTTATAAAAGAAAGCACTTAATTTTGGATTGCTTACACTTTCAGAGATTTGGTCCAATATCCTCATGGTGGGGAGTATGGTGATACACAGGCAGATAAGGTAGCTGAGAGTTCTACATCCAGATCCAAAGGCAGCAAGTAGAGGAAGAATCTGGGCTTGTCATGGGCTTTTTAAAACCTCAAAGCACACCTCCAATGACACACTTCCTCCAATAAGGCCACACCTACTCAAACATGGCCACACTCCTAATCCCTCTAATTTTCTGATGACCAAGCATTCAGATATATGAGCCTATGGGGCCATTCTTATTCAAACACCACAACCCTGGCCTTGTGCAGTTTTCATCCCTGGGCATCTGCCGAGGCCTGTGCCCTTCTTCCTGGGCATCCTTGCCATGCTCGGTAAACAAGAGTCACCCATGCTTCCTCCATAGAATTAAGTGGACATATTTCATATCACCCCCTCTTTGACACATCTCTGAGTCTTTCCATACATTTCACTACCAGTTTTAGAAGTTCTGGATTTTCTCTTTCTTGCAGTATGAACCAGCCTCTGCAAGCTATTCCTGGAGCACATGGGCATTATCTCCAGAAAACCTTGGCTGTTTGCTGACTACTAAAAGTCCTGTGTGTCAAAGCATGAGGAGATAGCTGAGTGGTAGAGGGCCTGCTTCACAGCCGTGAGGACTCGGGTTTGATGCCTAGAACTCCTGTAATAGAGCCAGGCATGGTGCTGTGTGCTTTTATTGTCAGTACTAAGAGGGCAGAGGCAGGGGAACCCTGGGGTCAGTGGCAAGCCTGTCTAGCCTACTTGGTGAGTCCCAAGCCTCTTAGAGACCTTGCTTATCAATAGTACTGTGACACACTTGTAAGAGGTTATAAAAATGTTTTCTTTAGTAAAATCTGAAGGCCTGTGTGTTAATACTTGACACATTATTATTATTATTATTATTAATTGGTGCATATTGGAAGTAATTGTATCAAGGATGCTTTCTTTAAATCACCTTCATATTTCCCTTTTCCTGCTTTAGCAGAACAGTTTCCTTGCATCAAACTTCAAAGTGGATTTTTCCTACAGATAACTGATGCTTATTCTATCTGATCCAGCAAAGTGCTGAGTTTGTGACTTTAGTTCACATCCACAAAGCCTATTCTCTGCTCCGGAGGGTTCATGTTCATGTCCAGCAAATCTTCCAGTGAGGTGTACTGAGTGAGAAAGGATCCCAGCCATTCAAGGAAAAATCCAAGCCTTGGGAGTGGCAGGAAGGGATAAGTGTTGGGGGGGGGGCTGTGAAAGAGGAAGAGAACAGGTGATAGAAGAGGCTGAGAGGGAAAGGGAAGAGGAAGCTGGTCGAAGGGGACAGGAAAGGAGGTCCCCAAACCTGCAGCAGTCCACCTCAGAGCAGAAGTTTTGGGCGTGGGGTCAGAGAGAAAGAGTTTTTTTTTTTAACACCTCTTTTGCATTTTTTAGTGTAATTTTATTGCAAACTTGTTAAAAGCACCTTTAAAAATTATTATTTATTTTAGGTTTCAGGCTCTCATCCACACAGGAGAGTGCATGTGTGCATCCTCACTAGGACTTCCTGCTTGTTTGTGCAGTCTGCTGAACAGAACAGTTCTGGGACATTGTGTCTTCTGCTGCTGTTAGGGAAAGTCTGGGAGACCAGGGGCCATAAGTGTGCTGGAAACAACTGCCTGAGGAAGGGGAGGGAGATCGGGCTTCAAGCAGGTCACAGACAGAGATCTCTTCTTGAGAATGAGTTAGGGCTGTGGTTTAACAGGGGAGAATCTGAGATCTGATGACCAATGTTGTTGTGTGAAGGGACCCAGTGGGAACATGGTTGAGCACTGTGTTCACAGATGACAGTTCCCCTTCCCATGTCAAATAGCAGCATTACTCCAGGAGACCTTTCCTAAATTCCCAGGCTCCATGTTGAATTTACCATGTGATCTATGATGCCTCTTTTTCCCTGTGTGTTCAGTAGATTTTCAGTCCCAGGAATGCAGATGCTACGTGATATATTTTATTCTGATATATTTTGTTCCTCAACACTTGATAAAAGACACTAAAAGAACTTGTGAGATAAATCTTCCTGGTGCCACTGTATGCATCTGAGGGTCCTACCACCCTAGAGATAGTCAAAGATGGCTCAGAAATAAGGATCCAGAAGCTGGTGGACATCTTGACTAGAGGATTCTTTTGTCCTTCAGAGGGATTCTGGGTGTCATCTGAGTGTCACAGAACCATGAATACGACTTTCTGCTTCTTGTTTGGACCTCACCTGCATGTTTCTCTCACAGATACACACTCTCTTAGTTGCAACATCATTGTCAAGGTTCATACCACACCTCAACATCCCTGGTGTGAAGGACAGTGCTCACTGGATGGAGTGTCTTTCCTTCGGTATGATAATGGCAACAAAGCCACACCTTTGGGTGACCTGGGAAAGGCGGCACATGCCTCTCAAGTGTGGACAGATTTTTTGCAAGAGCTGGAATACTTGGGGCAAGAGCTCAGGAAGATGCTGGCTGGCACCAATCTGAGGAAAACCAAGATCCATGGTAAGTGTGGGATGGAGTTCAGAGGCAGAGACAGGTGGCAAGAGAGAGGAAGGGCAGAGCACGTGTGGGAATGAGATGGTGAATGGATCTGTGGGAAAGAGCTGAGCATTGGCCCAACCTGGGAAGCATATGGTACCCAGTGGGTAACAAAGAGCAAGTCATGTGGAAATGATACTGGCTCATAAGCCAGTGGGAAAAGTCTTGACCTTTGAGGAGGTGATGGATCTATCAAAAGAGAAGAATGATGGCTTTGTATGTGGTTTGCAGGTCACCCCACTTTACAGACCATCATGCTTTCTAAGTATGAACAAGATCAAATCGTTGGTTCCTCCTGCCAATTTAACATCAGTAGAAAGTACTCCTTCATCTTGAACACAATGAATATGAGCTGGACACCGAATAGTCTTGAAGCTGGAGGTATCATGAATGAATGGAAGAATGATGAGGAACTAACTAAATATCTGAAGGTCTCCATAGCAAATTTGAGTCACTTGCTCAAGGAACTCTTAAAGCTCCGCAGGGAAAGGACAAGTAGGTATTACCTAGATCAATAGAAGGCAACTCCATCAAATTTGATAGACTGAGTGATTTTTTTGGCAGTGTGCCTGTCTGGAGATCTAATGACGACCACGAGGATCTCTCTTCCTAATCTCACCTTCCAATGTTTCTCATTCCCTAGTAACCAATAACCCATGGCGTGCTAATAGGATCCAAGTCTGTATGAATCACTGTAAACTTCCAGCCTTTTCTGCCTCACTTATAGCTGCCCTTGTACCAACACTAACATCACTTTGAAAGGCCTCATTTTTGTTCTCTGGCAGAAGAAATGAAGACCACCAATTGCCCTAACATTCAGAAAGTTCTACCCACAGTAAATATGTCACATTGTTTGATGGTTTGATAGACATTTGTTTTTTTTTGGTAATGAAATAAACTGTGCAAGGACATTGTACACACAATTCTATTCCCCTCTCTTCTCAGGAATTGTCAAATCATTATTACACATGAGTCCCTCAGGATGCCTGGGGAGAAAAGGTGCTGAATAAGGTGTGTTTTTGCTTTATCCATAATTTTTCTGATTTTTTTTTTAAGGATCAACATCAAGGGCCCCAGATATCACCCAGCATCCATCTGCCTCCCAGCATCCATCTCCCAGTCAATTTCAATATGAGAACGAATTTATCTCCCTGGCAGCAGTCATTGTCATCATCTTCCTTTTTGCTGTTGGCATACTAGTGAAACGTTGTCCCCAAGGAGGTAAGGAGCATCTGGGGTTTCACTCGGTTCTTGGTAGAGTTAGTCTGCTGAGGACTTGGAATAGGTGTCCCACTGATATCAGGGGTGTGAATTCCGGTTTTCAGGCTTATATACCAAGGGCCTTACCCACTAAGCCATCTTCCCATGCCCCCAAACTGATATTTTGACAGTCTGGCTGCGAGTTCAACATACTCTTTTCTGCTCAGACCATGAGAACCAAATGAAACAAACTCCCGAACACCTCACTTGCATGCATTCTTGCCATGGCCCTTAGAGGGATCCTTACCATGTACTCACTCCAAAAACAATTGCAAATGTGTTTTCCCACAATCAGCTAGGACTGCCCATTTACTCTTTCTGTCTCACTTCTCTCTGTGCCACGTGCATTTGAGAGGCTGTTGACCCTAGAAATGGGTCTGTCGGAGAAGTGGTTGGGTGGCCTGCACTCAAAACCACCTTCATTTGTCAGGGGTCATGGTACATTAGGGTAGAACCTAAGCGGTGACTTTCAGACTTCTCGGCTGGGGTAAAGGGCAGAACTTTGGATCTCACTGCCAAACCTTTCCAGACAAAAATCATTAGCTGCCCATGAGCTGCTCCATCAACTGCCACAAGCCACAGAGGAAAGAGAGGCCCATGGAGTCAAGTGGAGAGTTCCCCAACCAGGCCACCAATATATTGTCTGAAGATGATGAGCCTAAGATATGGGAGTAAAAGCATTCACTAAACCAGACATCTCCATGACGCCATCCTAGAGTCAGGAATCTCTCACAGAGGGGGAGAAGGGATGTGAGAGAACACGGATTTCCAGCTGGGACACGGCTGTTCCACTGTTGAACTCTGAGCAGCTCTGAGTCCTTGCATGATCCCTGCACAAGAGCAGGCCTGTCCACCTTCCCTTCATGGAGGGAGAGGGGCTCATGAGGCTCCAGAGCTCCCTAGACTCTATCTGCAGTTAATGGTGCTGGAGGGGGAGAGACATTTTGTTCAGCGGTGTGGACACTAGGAAGGACCCCATGTTCTTATGAATAACTCCTCACCCTCCTTCTATAATTAATGCCCAGTGGAATCATTGGGTCAAATTATTTAAAAAAAAAAAAACTCAGATGAGAGTAGAAGAAGAGTAATTGGGAAGCAAGCTGGAGGGAGTGGGAAGGGGACATGAGAGGAAATAGAAGGGTTGATATGACCAAAATGTCTTATTCACATTTATAAAAACATCATAGTGAAGCCAATTCTTATGTGTCGTTAATGTGCTATAACATTGTTTAAAGACTGATTACGTTTTACTTTTAATGTGTATTAATATATTGCCTGTGTGTACGTCTGTATGTAACATGTGTATGTGGTGATTGCAGAGGCCGGAAGAAAGCATTGGACCTCATGGAACTGGAGCTACAGATGGTTGGAAGTACTGAGAACTGAACCCAGGTCCTCTCCAAGAACAGCAAGTGCTCTTAACTGCTGAGCTATCTCTCCAGCTCTCTAATAAATTTCTTAAAAAGAATATAAATGTTTGAATATTATTAAACACAGGGAAGGCCTTATCACAAACTTCATAAAACAGTTAAATGTTTCATAATCAAAAAAGCTAAACATGATATTTTAACGACTATGGATGGTAATGGCCAGTTACGACATCATTTGTAGCAATGTACTATGAAAGCTTGGTGACAGGGCCTCACAGGTCCTTCTAACAAAGATGCCAGGGAATAGAGAAATATTGAATGAAACTGGTAAATATAAGGTATTTGTGTCAACTTGACATAAGCTAAAGTTGTCTGAGAGGAGGAAGCCTCAGTTTTAAATATGCTTCCATAAAATAAGGCTGTGGGCAAGCTTGTAGATATGTTCTTAATTACCGATTGATGGCAGAGGGCCTAGCCCATGGTAGTGGTCCACTTCTATAAGATAGCACACTAAACAAGCCATGAGCAACAAGCCAGTAAGCAGTAAACAGTACCCATGGCCTCTGCATCAGCTCCTGCTTCCAGATTCCTGCCCTGTTTGAGTCCTGTCCTGACTGCCTTCAACTGGTGAACAGTGATTTGGAAATGGAAGCCAAATAAACCCTTTCCTCCCCAAGTTCCTTTGGTCATGATGTCTCCTCACAGCAACAGACACCCTAACTAAGACAAGTAGGTAACAAGACACTGTGGTATTGTTGTGACAGACCTGACCATGAGATTTAGGGAGTATTGTGGAAGGATTTTGGAACTTTTGACTAGGTAAGTGTGGAGAGCTAACTGGGCCATTCTTTAGGAACTTGGAAGATAAGAACGTTGAGCAGTGCAAACAATGGAGGCCTGGCCTGTGAACTTTAGGGAAGCAGACTCTACTGGGCCATTTGGATGTAGAATCAATGGTTCTGGGTGTCTGGGACTGAAGAATCAGCTGTGATTAACAAGATACCAGAACTACTAAAGTGAAACCTTTGCTGGGGAACTTGATGCTGGTCAGCTGGAGTTGAAAAATTAGTGGTGATTACAAAGAGAAGAGCATCTTTGAGGTGAAGTCTTCTGGAAAGTGTTTCCTGAGAGTCAGCATATAAAGGCTGTGTCCCAGACATGGTCAAGGTTGTACCTTGTGCTGGAAGTGAACTTGGTAGTGCAAGATCCACTCAGGTGGTGCTGGTTTTGAAAGTGTGAAGGGGTCATGGAGAGCAGATGAGGCTTGGCCACTATATGGCAGAGTTGGAGTCTATAAAAAGTGCCTAGGATTGGCTACTAGTGAAAGTGCAGTTGCAGCAGAAGACCCCAGCATTTTGGAGATGCTAGGACCACGGGATAACCACCAAGAACAGCAGCAGCAGTGGAGTGGAGCTGGCCAGAGCTTAGAAGACAAGCTGTGTGTGTCACAGAGGGGGAGCTGGAGAAGTGACTCAAGAGCTGATGGTGTGTAACCCACAGTTCAACCATGGATACTGTGTCCGGGTTTTCACAGGGGACTCCACCACTGGGCCTCTTCTCAGTCAAGGGTTTCTGGTGAAGCCAAACTCCTAAAGACCGGATTATATTCAAAGTCTAAGGAACTTCAGAATGTAAGAGCATGCAGGGAAAGGTTAGGAAATTCCTAGATGAGCAAGCTGAGACACAAAGGCAGAAGCTGTCTACAAAAGGAATAGCAGAGATGTAAGCTATCTTAGTGATGTAAGCTGTCTCAGTGTTGTATTGCTGAATACAGAAAACATAACCATGACAACTCCTTTTTTATTGTTTGTTTGTTTTTGTTATTTTCAAGACAGAGATTTTCTGTGTAGCTTTGGAGCCTGTCCTGGAACTTACTCTGCAGACCAGGCTGGCCTCAAACGCACAGAGGTCCACCTGCCTCTGTCTCCTGAGTGCTGGGATTAAAGGTGTGTGCCACCACCACCCGGCCCATGCCAACTCTTATAAAGGAAAGCATTCGATTGGGGCTTGCTTACAGTTTCGGAGGTTTAGTCCATTGTCATCATAGCAGGGAGTATGGCAGCATGCAGCAGACATGGTGCCTGAGAAGTAGCTGAGAGTTCTACTTCAGGATCCACAGGCACAGAAAGAGAGGGAGACACTGGGCTTGACTTGGGCTCTTGAAATCTCAAAGTCCACCCTCAATGACACACTTCCTCCAACAAGGCCACACCTACCCCAACATGGATATACCTCCTAATCCTTCTAAGTAATGCCACTCCCTGATGAAGAAGCACTCAAGCAGACAAGAGCCATTCTTCAAACCACCACATAAGCCCACCTCCTCAGATTCCCTGTGTCCTGCACCTCCGCTCCAGACTGGGGCCTGATCAGTGGTTGTAAAGTACGTCCTTCCCCACATGTCTACAGTGTCTTTCACACAGTCAGCAGCCACACCCAGGAGGACAACAGCTGTGCAGACCCAGCCTGTCACACTGTTCCACTCTGTCTGCTGATAGCAAACCAAGACATGATCACACAGACCGACTGGGTCTTATGAAAACTGGTGTTGAACCAGAGATTTTACCTGGGGAAATGCAAACATGTTCTCTCTCTCTCTCTCTCTCTCTCTCTCTCTCTCTCTCTCTCTCTCTCTCTCTCTCTCTCTCTCTCTCTCTCTCTCTCTCTCACACACACACACACACACACACACACACACACACACACACTCACACTCACAGCACAATGTGCACCTATCACAGACCGAATTACCAACAGCCCAAAGGTCCAACTCGGGAACCACTGGTTCTCTTTGGGGTTACTCACAGGAGTGTGGTGAGGAGTTACTTACAGGAGCTGGGATGAGTTCACAGCAGCTGCATCACTGCAGAGCCCACCTCAACACAGGTGGTGACTCTGGGACCAGCAGAGCTGAAACTGTACAGCGTGCAGACCTCTGCACAGGTCTGGGATCTTCTCTGAAGCTGGACTAGTCAGTCTTCTCTTTCTACTGCCTGGTTTGTCCTCTAAAACTTCCGAGTGTCACTTTCTCAAACAGGAAGTTGCTTCATTCCTGACTCTAAGGACCTTGTCCCTCCTCTGAAGACAATGTTGCTGTAGGAGGAAAGACCAGAAGCTACAGGTGACTTTTCTATTAAGGCAGAGAATTCTGTCCCACAGACAGATGAAATTTTAAAATTAGCCCAAAGTGTCAACTCTGCAGAGGACCCAAGTTATTTGGTTTCTAGTTAAGCTGTCTTCCATTTCCTTAGGAAGGCCGTCTTCAGACAAAACCACTTCACAGTTTAACACTTCTGTGTACAACCAATGAAATAGAGCAGAAAGTAGAGCAGGGTGCATTATAGTTATAAATTTAAATCATCTCTGGTATCACTCAGATGTTACGTGAGGTTCTTCTGAGTAACCTGGGAGCTTCAGACATTCAAATCTGAGAATCAAAATCAAGTTCTGCTACTAATGGAATGAACACACTAAGCACACCACCCTCCCTCTAGACCAGTGGTTCTCAACCTTCCAAACACTGGGACCCTTTAATATAGATCTTCATGTTGTGGTGATTCCCCACCATAAAGTTACTTTTGTTGCTACTTCATAACTATAATTTTACTACTGTTATGAATCAAAATGTAAATATCTGATATGCAGGAAAACTGACCCACAGGTTGAGAATCACTGTCACAATGCAGAAGGTTAATGCCTGTCTGCAAAATGAGGTATGATGTACAAAAAAATAGATTTTTAAGACAAATACCCTCCTACTCAAATCTTAACACAAGAAACACTTTCTTTAGACTAATTTTTAAATCAAGTTGCCTTGCTTAGGAGGGGCTTTTGGGGGGCTTCAGTTTCCAATTACTGGGCCATGGCTATTATGAGGACTAATAAGAGAAAAGTTTTTTTTTAAAAAAAAATAATGTAGGGAAAGACAATTCTTAAAAGCAAGTACTACTGGGTGTGGTGTCATACTTATAAAAAGCTACAAGAAAATTCCATCCTCTTGAACAATGATTAAAGTCATTCCAGTCACAGAAAACTCTTTTTCTTGAACTGTGACGAGAGCTGAGACCATACGTCAGCCAACTAGGTGAACTGAACTAAAAAGAATGAGAAACTCCTCTGAGGAAGGGCAGGATCATTACTTCCCTTTTTTCCTAAGAACAGAAGAAAGGGATGTCAACCCTACATAAAATGAGAAGTCGCAAGTTTCAAGGTGCATAGACCAAAGGAAAACTTAAATGTGTCACTACAGCTGGGGACGTCAGTACTCTTCTCTCAGTAGTTGAGAGAAGTTCACAACAACAAAAGCAAAATCAGGATTCGCACAGGAGACTCAACAGGTTTCTTTGGCTAACATTTCTAGAATATATGTTCTGTTTCAATTCATGTGGGACATCCACAAGAAGGCTCTTTATTTTTCTCAGTTTTTTTTTTTGTTTTGAGCCAGGGACTCACTACATAACCGTGGCTGTCCTGGAACTCACTATGTAGACCAGATTGACCTTGAACTCATGGAGATCTACCTGCTTCTGACTCCCAAGTGCTGGGATTAAAGGTGTGTGACACTCTGAAAGGTCATTTTTGAGCCACCAAATAGAGTTTAAAATATATAAAGGGTAGATGGTTGTAGAATACTTGTTCAAGATGTGTTACATTTTTTTATGCTGTGGAACATTTGTTTAATGATGCAAAGATGTATTGCATTACTTTATGTTGCATTTGCTTAGTTCTGTGAAGCTGTGTTACTTTGACTGCCTAATTGGTCTAATAAAGAGCTGAATGGCCAATAGCTAGGCAGGAGAGAGAAACAGGCGGAGCTGATAGGTAGAGACATAAATGAGGGAGAAAAGAAGAGGGAAGAGAAGAAAGAGAGAGGACGAGGGGCAGCCACCAGGCCACACAGCCAGCATTGGAGTAAGAATAAAGAAAGGAATATAGAGAAGTTAGAAGCCAGAGGCAAAAGGTAGATGGGATAATTGAAGTTTAGAAAAGCTGGCTACAAACAAGCCAAGGAAAGGCCAAGCATTCATTCGTAAAAAAGAATAAGTCTCTGTGTATTTATTTGGGAGCTGCATAGCTGACCCCCAAAGAGCAGAGTAAAAAAGACTAACTAAGTAGTTGCTATAAAATAAAATATAATATAAAATAAAATAAATAAAAAATGCCATCTGACCACAACAGCAATAAATATGAACTAAATAGCAAGAAGATATGTGGGAAACCCTCAAACATTTCAGTGTCAAATAAC